TGGGGTTCGTATTCCAGCACCCACATGGCAACTAACAACTGTCCTAACTCCAGTCCCAGGGGATCCGACAGCCTCTTCTGTCCTCCGCCAGCATTGCACGACATGGGTGCACTTTACCTACATGCAGGCAATACACGCATACACGTAAAATAAAAATAATAAATAAAATTTTAAAAACCCCCAAACATCACCATGTAATGTCCCAGCTACGGTGGGGGGGTCAGGGGAGGGGTGAGGAAGAGAGGCATGCAGGAGGGAGGGTTGAGAAGCTTATAACAGCCCCGACAACATGAGACCAATCAGCAGATCAACCAGGTATGGTGGCACACTCCTGTAACCCAGCCCTTAAGGGGATCTGTTCAGGGTCATCTATGGCTCTACAGTAAGTTGGAGGCCAGCCTGGGCTACAGGTGACCCTGTCTCAAACAACCAAAACAAAACAGAGCTTAGCTCAGGTACCGGGAACATTTTCTGACAGACTGGATGCCACAGGAGCTTGTCCCAGGGCCTGCTCCTCTTTCTGGCGGGCAGCTCTAGGAGGGCACCATGGTTTTTAGTCCAGAGAGCCCCAGCTCTCGAGTGGGGCCCCAGAACAAAGAAGAGGATCCCATCACTTTTATTTTTTTTCAATTTTATGTGTATGAGTGTGTTGCCTGCCTGTGTGTAAGTGCTCCCTCCCATGTTGTGAGGCTCGGAAGAGGGCGTCAGATTCAACAGACAGTCGTTAGTCACCATGTGGGTGCTGGGAATCAAACTTGAGTCCTCTGCAAGAGCAGCCAGTGCTCTTAACTGAGGAGCATCTCTCCAGCCCTGACTTTTCATTTTCTTGTGAAAGACTTGGAAATGGTCCAAAAGGGTATTGGGTGGGTATGTAGGAGAGGAAAAAGCCCCTTTCCATTTTCCCTTCTGCATTCCGGGCTGGAGCCCTGGAGCAAAGACAGGTTAACAAGAGAAAAACAGGCCAGCATTTATCCGCATGCACATTTCCAGACACAAGGGAGAGCCTCGATACAGCGGCTGCCAATTCAGTTTCTCTAACATCCTCAAAAATGAAGAAATCTGCAGAGATGGTATAAAAAGGAAGGCGGTGTTAGGGTTCAAGGGTAGCAGACTGGGCAGATTCATTACACATTACAGAGCCGACTTCCCATGAGATCCCCTGGGCCTTCCCGGATCTCACGTCTCCTGTAATGACTTCCATCTGCTGCTAGGCAGCAAAGTGGGAGGCAGAGCTAGCTTCTCAATGACCTTAGCTCAAAGCAAATTTTAAGTCAGAGGCATATTTTGGGGTGACATGTCAATTTCTTTGGGATGTCTTGAGTAGGCCCTTCCTGGCATACCTTTCTGGATCCCCTAGTTCTTTGAGGCCTTATGTCTTAAAGAGCTCTGTAACTAGAGACTGTAGAGTTGACAGCAGTGTAGTGATTATTATATACAGATAACTCAATTTAAATGTTTTAAATTATGTGGGTGTGTGTCTCTGTGTATGGGACTGTGCATGTGTAACTGCAGTGCCTGTAGAGTCCAGAAGAGGGCACCCAATCCTCTAGGTAGCTGTGAACTGCTCCATGTGGACTGGGAACCAAAGTCCTCTTGAAGAGCAAGTAATACTGCTGAACCACCTTGTCGACCCTCAAGCTATTACATATCTTTTGAGACAGGGTCATATTCTGTAGCTCAGGCTGGCCTCAAATTCACAGGCATCCTCCTGCCTCAGCCTCCCTAGTGCTGGTATTACAGGCACAAGCCACTTTGCCTGGCTACAGATGATTCTTGCGCGGAGAGTTTAGACACACAGATGAAACCACCACGTGGAGGTTTGGCTGGTTGCCCCCCAACCCCCCCACCCCGGGCAGGAGCTCGCTTTGCAGGGGTGGGGGAGTGGGGGGTGTTGTCTTTTTGAGACAGGGTCTCTCTGTAGCCCCAGCTGTCCTGGAACTTACTATGTAGGCCAAGCTGGCCCTGAACTCACAAAGATCTGCCTGCCTGTTTCCTGAGCGGTGGGATTAAAGGCGTGCGCCCCCACTCCCAGCTCTCGCTTTGCATTTATTAAGCATCACCTTGGCATTCTTGATTGCCTATGTTTGTGTCCACTTCTGGATTCATCTCTGGGGGGAACTAGTTACAGCATCACAGACACTCCCTAATTAACTGAGTTAAATTAGGTCTTTGACGTGTGTTCATTCCATTTTTGCACAAAACCCAACTTCACATTTTTTAAAAAAGAGATGCTTCTAACATTGCTTTTTGAAAACATACCTCAATTACAGTGGCAATTCAATCTCCATTTTACATAAACAGAACCTTCATTTATTTTACCATATATAAAAAGAACTGGCTACCTACTGGCAGTTCACCTCTTCTTGGAGTCAAAGTTAGTAGGCAGGTATGGTGGTGCACACCTTTGGTTCCAGTACTCAGGACACAGGCAGGCAGATCTCTGTGAGATCCAGGCCAGCCTGATCTACATAGTGAGTTCCAGGCTAACTGGGGCTACAGGGAGATCCTGTCTCAAAAACCAAAATCAAACAAAAGCCTAGCAGGATGGCCAGCTGATACAAAGCTTTTCCTGAGGAGGCATGAACAAACATGCCCAGACAGGGCACCAAAGAGACAGAAGAAATAATTCTGTCAGCAGCTGCAAGGAGGCACTGCCCAACAGCCAGCAGCAGCCTGCAGAGCTCCCTCCTTTTCCGGGGCCTTCCGAGACTTTGCTACAGAGAATTTCAGGATGAGCCAGACAGAAACAGGGTTAGTGAGTTTATTATTTACACAGAGACATGTAGGAAGGGGACAGCATGCAGTTTCAAGAGAGTGGTCTTCTCTGGAGAGTCGAGCTTAGGTCCCTTCACCGTGGTTTTATATATATAAACCCGAAGCCTTTTAAATAATATACCTCAAAGGATGTGTTTACAAGGTCTGAAGGTTAAGCAAAGCTCTTAAAACTTACATAAAGGGTGGGGAATATGTAGCTCAGTTGATAAGAGAGTGCTTGCCTACCAGGCATGAAGCCTTGGGTTCCACCCCTGAGCACTGCATAAACTTGGGCATGGTATCTCACACTTGTAATTCCAGCCTTTGTGAGGTAGAGGCAGGAGGATCAGAAGCTCAAGGTCATCCTCAGCTGCATAGTGAGTTTGAGGCTAGCCTGAGCTACATGAGATCCTATCTCAGAACAAATGAATGGCTAAATAAATGTTAAGTAAAATAAATGAGCTGAGCCGCACAAAGTGGCAAATGCCTTTAATACCAGCACTCAGGAGGCAGAAGCAGGTAGATCTCTTTGAGATCAAGGTCTGTGTATCGAGTTCCAGGCCAGCTGGGGCTACAGGGAGACCCCGTCTCAAAACAAACAAAAAGCAAAAACAAAAGTTGTATGAGCTAGTTAACTTACTGTGTGCATGTGCATGCAGTATGTGTGAGGTATATGCACGGACATGTGCACTGTGTGCTCAGAGGCCAGAGGTCTTCAAGGGCTCATCAGGGTGCTCTTCTATTGCCACCCTTTTCCTCTGAGGCAGGGTCTCTTGCTGAACCTTGACCTGCCATTACTCAGTTGGGCTGGCAGTCAGCAAGCCCCAGCTAATTTCCTGTCTCCATCCCCTCTGTGGTGGGGGTTACAAGCCTGCACGTGACTGTCTTGTTACATGGATGCTGGCATCCAAACTCTGGTCCTCATGTTTGACCAACAAGTGCTCTTAACCACTTAGCAATGTCTCCAGCCTTCCCCCCTCCCCCCACCACATTTTTAATTTTAAAGAATATCCTTTTGTAGACACAACTGTCAGGCAGTTCTACAAGGTAGGGTGTTCAGACTCAGGGATGACAGAGGAGGGCTGATACAAAAACTCAAGATTGTAAACATCCTGGCCCTAAGTAAGCACAGTTTATTTCCTGTTTGTAGCATCCGTGTTTGAGTAGTCTTTGGGAAAACACATCCCCTCTGCAGGCAATTTTAGCTTTTATGGATTGTGCTGACATTTAAAAAAAGTTTATTTTATGTATCTGAGCGGTCTGCCTGAAAATTACTGCACCTGTGTCATGCAATGCATGCAGAAGGCAGAAGGCATTGGATCCCCGGGAACTGGAGTTAGAGATGACTGTTAGCACCCTGTGGGTTCTGAGAACTGAACCTGGGTCCTTCTCAAGAGCAGCCAGTGGTCTTAAATGCTGAGCATTTCTCCAGCCCCTTCTACTGAAATCGACTCTCAGCAGGAAATGTAAATTAGATCCCAGGGTGAAGGACGTCTCTCCCTGCCCATGCCACTTGATCTTTCCTTTTGAGTCTTGCCTCGATCCCACTCAAGGTCAACTCAATGAATCAATTAGTTTATCGGGCTTACCCTACAAGGGCATAGGTCAAGGGTCATTACAAGGGTATGAGTGACTCAAGCAGCTTCATCTCTGAAAAGCCAATTCCGAGGGGCCCTTCCCTCTAAGAGCAAATGTTTCAATATTGAGAAACACAGTATTGAACAGCGCAGGCCCAACACAGTTGACTAAAAGGATCTAGCATTCCGTACATACAGGTGTACAAAAATGTAAACCTTAAAGATGCGCTTTGGGGGGCGGCGGTATCACTATACAGCCCAGGCTGGTTAGAACTGTGGATCCTCCTGGCCTTCACTCAGCCTCCCTAGTGCTGGGATTATACATGGGCCACCATACCTGCCCTCACTGCCTGCATGTATGCGACTGCATCCGTGTCGTGCAATGCCATGGAGGTCAGAAGAGGGTTTCGGATTTCCCTGGAACTGGAGTTAAGGATGGTTTGTAGCTGTCATATGGGTGCTGGGAACTGAACCCGGGTCCTCTGCAAGAGCAATTAGTGCTTTTAACCACTGAGCCATCTCTCCAGCCCAAAGCTGTCAGTTTTTGGAAAACTGCATTTAATGCACCTCTTACTTCCAAAAGTCTGGCTCGAACACCACGTTCTGGACTCCGGCACGGCTTGCAGACCGTGGGGGGGGGAGGGGGAGCTGGACCTGACGTCACAGCCTCCTACGATGGCGTAACACAGCGAACACGCAGGACTCCGAACACTAACCGGAGCACCACGCGGAATAAATGCTCTCAAGTACGCAGGGGACCCAGGGGAATAAAACACCCGTTTCTACCCCATCTCCGTGGCTCTCCTTCCTGCACCCGGCACAGACACCCGTGAAGGTGGCTCTCAGACGCCGCCGGGCTCGGGCCACGCCGCCGGGTACGCATTCTCGGGCGCATTTGCAGCGCGGGTGACGCGGAGTGGCCCTCGCGGCGATCCGTAGACGCCGGCCTTCCTCTTCTGGTACGTCATGCTGGAAGCTCCCTGTTTAGCAGGTTCCCGAAAAGCGTTGCCTCTTCTCTGGGAACTGCCCGGTTTTTAGACCCTCGGTCTGGCCCGGAAATACCCGGCTTCAAGCCACCCCCCGCAAGAACCGCTACTGGAAGCGGCGGGTGGCGCGGCGGAAGTGCGCGAGCACGGCGCCTTAACCTCGCCGGGTGTACTTCCGGGGTCCCGCCGCCCCGCTGTCCAGCCCCGGGCGCCGGGCTCCGGTGTCTACTCGGCGGCTGCCTCTCGCACACCGGCCCGGCGGAACCCAGCCGAGC